ATGTCAGATTGCGCAATTTTCTCACGAAAAAGCACAAAATGTGTCAAATATCTCACTAATTATCTTGACGCGGAATATATACATGAATTATGTGTTAGCTAAATTATTTTGGTACTAAGCCATTTGTGGACTGCTGTGGAACATAAGGACTGCGAATGCAAGTACAACTGTGTTTGGCATCTTATAGCATTACCTATTGATGCCAATTACATAACGTTTACACTTGTATGGAGCTTTGATGTTTTACTGTAAATCGACTTCTGTGTGTTCATTTGAATAAGATTTCGTAGGTGAATGTAGTTGATACCAGGTGCGTTAAAGCTTATCGCACATTCTACCGATAGCCTCGCGCTAATTAAGCCACCAATGTACTCCATTTTGTCATTCTAGCCATATTACGTAAGTTGTTTATGATAAAAAGCCGAGATATCTCCTTTACATTGCTGCACTTTTTTCTATGTCAGGACTGAATTTCAGCTGTCCGGGAAATGTGTCAGGGCTCATTATGATGTGGCATACTCACAGGTTAAGTTTTCGACTAAATGGCCTATTCAGAAGAGAATCTCTTGTTTACTTCTCTCAAAGAAATGGTTGCAAAAGTCCGGCGATTCACTTCCACTTGCTTCCTCACACATGCTGCAGGCAGTCTATTTGTTGTCTTTAGTGGGTTAACATCCTCTCCTGGTTGGGTTCCCCATTCAGTTCGTATCATCATTTTAATTAAAACTCCGTAAGAAAAAAGAAATTGGCTTTCAATTCTAAAGTAAAATTTTCCGTGGGGTTATAACTGGTTAGTTTTGAAGGTAACGATTTCGTTTAGTGTGACGTTTGTTATAACAGATAAGCTTATTTTTGTCAATCTTTTGAAGGTTCAGTTCTAGCCATTTGAAATCGAGCATAGTTTATCACGTGTGCGTTAGGCGTGTTTTTTCCTAATCTGGAATTATGACCTCTGGAAGTGATTCAGTTGAGACCAGTACTGTTAATGAGAGTGCCATCGCTGTCCTGGAAAACGTTTTGCAGGAAAGGTGGCGTCTCAACAATGTCAAGTCATTTTTAAATTTGAAACAAATAACAATTCAATCTCTTAAGAATGACGTGGCTTCCACCATGCTCACTGTGGCGAAAAATTATTTACCTTTGTTAAGCTGCTACAAAAGGTAATTTATTGTACAACACATTGAGAATTTTTAAGTTTAATTCCTGAAACTATATTCGCCTCAAAGTACCTTTCCTTCGTGCTTGATGAAGTGATTGCTGACGATTTATCATCCCCTCATATTGCACAAATGGTACGTCATTTTATTGGCTTACTTTGAGTACTGTAGCACACTGCATGGGTTTCTTGTGTGTCTGAATTATTATGTTCCCGTCGGTCCAACCATCAAAAACTAGCTCGTCGGCTGTGTTGTCATCTATGGAATTACGTATGATCTTATATCTACATAATAACGCCGATTTAAGTCACCAGTGGCATTGGATTTACTCTTTTCAAATCTTTTATCACCAAATCATTTCGAGATATCCTTACCCGTGGCGTCGCTAGCCTGTATTGTACGAAGGGAAGATGAAAGTGTGAAGAAATTGGAAAAGGTGAGTCTCTGTTTACATTCCAATATCATTCTAGCATACAATTCTCCAAAACATTCTTGACTATGCTTTCTCGGGGAAGAAAGATTTTTCTACACATTATTTGGTAAGTACGGAACATTTATTTCAAAATCCTAAATGCTTTACGTATTTGCTAAACTCTCCTCTCCTCTTCCCAGGAACACACCTCGGGTCTCTTAAATTATTGCATTGATGAATCAACTTTCAGAAATTGTGTTCTGCCTGTTATTCATCGGAAGTTACTGCGTTCTCCAGAAACTGCAGTTCTAGGTAAGCTCACTTACCATAATAACCCATGTACATTACATCCCAATATTAATCCCACACTTTTATCCTTTAGTTGTCGATGTCATCTTGAAGCAGCTTGTACTCAACTTTGATGAATGTGGTGTAGAATTCACTCAGCCACTAGCGAATAACCTTCTTTCAACCAGTCCTATTGTCCGTGCATCCAGTGTGTCGTCTATCGTTTCACTTGTTAAGCATTGTACCGATCCAAACGTGGTATCTGCAATCTACAACCTGGTATGTTTGTCTTTTTTTAAAAAACATCAAATTATGTGTTACCATGTTTTGTGATTCGTTATTTCCAAAACGCGCGTCAATGCCTCAAATACATACACTGCAGTACGGCAGACAGCCTGGCTAAATCTTGAATAGTTTTGTTAGAAATAGTATTTTTCAACCATTTGAGTTTATGTCAACGTTTTTTGACTTAGGTGCTGTCGAAGCTTACTGGACCAGAAGGTCGTCGAGTTCCTATGGATGTAAAGCTCGCAATTCTCGACACGCTTGGCAATTTATCACTTCACAATGCGGACAATTCAACAGTTTTCCCTGATGTATTAAAGAGCCTGATTGATATATTCACGTCTGAGGGCAAGTCTATAAAACTACTATCATTTAACGTGACCCTGAGTCTACTCGTTGATTGTTAAATTTTTCAACTTAATTTTAAATGCACATGTACCTGTATGTCTTCAGTGACTTAAAAACTCGCGCTTAAAGGATCTTTTGCCTTGTTTATAAAGTGACACCAGGGCGTTGAATGTAGTCGTCTGTCGTAAATGTGTTAAATGACACACTTTTACTCTCAATATGCGTTTCCTCAGCGTGACTACTGATCATTCCAACTTGAAAAAGACATTTACTGATATTGATAAAACTCATCAAAAAAATCAAGGCATTTCTTTGTTGTCCGTTTTGCCACTTCCTAGTTTTTATTTATTGAAGAAGTTCATCCGTCAACCCTTGGAAAGATAGGATGACGCGAAGTATGTCAGTTTCTTGCTTAGGAATCTGTAAAACTTGTAAATGAATAGCCATTGGTGGAGTTAAATTATGGGGTTGGGGCCCTAAACCATTTGTGTGTATTTGTTTAGCTTCGTCTTTTTTTTACTATATCTCATATTTGTTTGAGAAGCTCTCAAAGTCCAGAACGTGTTTGAAATATTGTCAAGCATTAAAAATGCGTAAATTAGTCTTGATAAAGAACTCTTGTTTGCGTTAGGAATCCTTCAAAATGACACTACTTATCTGTTCCACGTAAGATTTATTACAAAAATTATACCATTTTAGTGAACGAGGATATTATTGAATCAGTTCTGATTCAACTGGGTATGTGGATAAAAAGACCGAAGTGCGTACTTCCCGAGAAGGCTCAAGCGACGATTCGGGTACGTCTTTATGCGAAGTTCTTCATTACTAAAGAAAGCTACTTTAGGTCCAATTAGATAATGATCTCACTAGACCACTCTTAAACCTAGCATTGAATTCCTCAAAGATATCTATCCGATTTCCATGCATTGTTTTACTCAGAAAACTACTTTCATTTGATTGACAGGACAAAGTAGTACTAATTATACTGCTACGTTATGTTAAATGCCTTAGATTAGCTTAATTTATCAATTCGTCTAGTTTCGAATTTCAGAGGAATGGCTCTGAAACAGTTTGGGGTAAATGGTTTTAAAGTGGATTTTACTCTGGGGTAACGTACCTGGTTGTGCGCGAAGTCACTAAAAGTCGTGAGTTGGCACTCCCAGATCCGGACTTTTTGACCACTGAGTCCTTTGTTAGGTCTCATTAAAGGTTCAGGTCTCCGCGTACTTTTGTAAAATCGTATCAGCCTATGTAACGAAGACTAGAAGCCTCAATTATGAATATAAGAAGTTCGTACTTTTGAACGATTTTCGGATTATCTGGAATTGAATTAAGCACTTTATGGCGAACTTGTCTCCATTAGAAGCAAACTTATGCCGACATCGGGCTTTTCGGTATTTTATTGGGCCAATATCTCGTGTGCTCAATTCTGGCGTAGAGACAGGGAGATGTCATTTGGCGAAATGCGCTTTTTTAGTGCTACTAAATCTGTTTAATTGGCATCTCTGTCTTATTTGTTTTAATTTTGTTTAGGACAAGTTGTTTGCAGCCAAAACTTCCCATAGGGTGAAAATGGCTATCTTCCGATGCATAGAAGAGGTGCTCCGATCAGGTAAATGGCCAATGTAGTCTACATTAGAAATTCTTACATTCAGCTGCCATTATATAGGAGGTTTTTTTGCTTAAACCCATTCTAAGTTATAGTTAGGAGAGCGTTTGTCGTAGCACTTGAGTATGGCAGCAGTGGCGATTTTATCCGTCCCTTCTTCCTACTTGTGATTTTCTACCCACAAATTAAACTTCGAAACCGTGAGACACCGGGCCCAAAAAGTTGTTTAAAATAATGTTGGAATGGATGCCTTCCTTGGAACCACCGAACTTCTTATTATACCTGTTTCACAGACAAGAGATTTTGAAGAGTACAATCACAAAATATGAGGAGTTAGTGGTATTTGCGCAATCCGAGCACGGTCCAGAACCCCAGTCAGCAATTATGAGGTCATAGACCTCAATGTTTCCCGTTGTTGTTTTAGGTGGTAAACTTTCCAAAACATATATTCCCTTGCTGGCAACGATGGCTCAAGGTGCCAAGACCGAAGTACCCACGTCTCCACTTGTTAGCCAAGCAGTGGCTGCTGCCTCCCTCTGGCTAATGAATGTCAGTCAGCCAGGAAAGGCTCCTGAATGTATGTGGGCCGTTCTAAGTGGTTTGAAGGCCGATGGGAAGCCAGCCAATGAGAAGGAGTCCCTGCCCATGTGGCTCAGTGATCGGTTCCTGCTAACTGCATCGTCGGATGGTAAGCATTCACCTTAACGCCCTGTTACTGCTTTCAGCTGTTAGCTTTACGGTATTTTTTTAATCCTCTAGTTCATTCCTACCTCGTTAATTGCATCCATCTGCTTCTGACTAACCACCCAAATGAATTGTCCAGACATCAGAGAAGGTTTGTTTGAACTATGAAACCCTATAACCTATTAAAATAACCACACTTACTCGTTCCGTTACTGGTCCTGAAATTGGGCGGCTCTGTTTTCGGCAAATGAATCATTGTCCTTCTATTGTGCTAGTCCGATTTTCCCAGTTGGGTCTGCTCTCATTCCGGCGCGATACAAATTTTCCAACCTGACCAAGATGCAACTTTTATTTACTGTTGATTTTGGACAATGTAGGCCTATCCACACACATTAACCGTTTTTATATAGATTTCAATAAGCAGGTTTATTATAAACTTAGACTTCTATCGTTTCACTTTACAATACCTCCGTGTCATGTCACTTTGAGGCAAAAGGCGAAATCACCGCCTAATGCTTAGTTTATTTTTTCAAAACCGATCATGTACTCTATTTAAAAATAATCATCAGCTTAAAATTAAGGAAAAAGAACGGAAACAAGTCTAATGAATGTCGAATGTTTCGTTTCAGTGTCTTCTATCGCAGTCTTATTTTGGTTTGGCTCTACACAGAGTCAGTCAACGTTGTGTCGGATATTCGTTGCTGTCTGCTGCTCCACCTAGCGCGGGAGGGCAAGCAGACTCGCACCCTTGGTCAGGCACTTATTGAAGACCACCTGAACGCCCTGGTGCAAGAGTCACTGATAAAAACAGCCAGTGGAACACCCGACCTTCTAGTCAGTGCAAGCGCAAATGTGGCCCGCTTCGGACAGCGTCTAGTTCGGCTCGTGGAGACCATCTGTCGTGGAGCATCAGCCAGTTCTTCGCAGGTTAGCAATCCTTCAATTGGGGGTTCAAGACTCGCCGCCTCGTCTATCAATTTGCCGAAATTGGAAGCCCTATCATCCCGGCAGAGGACCTCTCTTTTCAGTGCTGCGCTTTATGCTCTTAGTCACCCAGCCTCAGGTAACTGAATCCGGTCTTTATTTCTGCCTTACCAGTAGTGTTGGGTCGAACATCTTGTACCAGAGGATATCCACATACGGCCTGGTCAAGAATAAATAAGTAAAAAAGCAAAACCCAAAGGTCTAGCAGCTTCTAACATCCAACTAGTAAAGATAAAAATTCAAAATTTTTGATGCTTAAATACATGTGTAAACATCGATTTAGTTACCTTGCTTAAGCGTTTTCCTTCCAAAATTACCCGTTACCTATAAAATGTTTGGAAGCCCCAAAACATGACCTCATTGGCATAGTAAGTACTTGTCCATGGTAGTTCAGAAGGATTTGCAAATTTACAGATGTCAACCTTGATAAATCTGTTTCCCTGATAAACAAGACTTTAACGGCCAGCGTCGGCTTAAATCATATTGTGTTAATGCGTTATTTGTTGGCTATCCGATTTCTCCATTGTTAATACCGGCCCTGTAACGAGTTTCTTTCCAATATTTTCCCGTAGGTCACATTTTCCAGAAAAAGAAGTATTTTTTGTTGGCGTTGAATTTCTATCCACTGATCTACCAATGAACCAACAAATATCTACTCGTATCTCTAATATTGAAGGCACCATTCTGGCTATGCTTTACACATGCCACAATGAGGTGTCCTTCTCTCGATTTCAGCGTTTGTCTGTGAATTTAAGTCAGCACGCAAAGAAATACCTCATGAGTTTTTATTTAGCTAAAAAGTTTGCTCATGTAAATCCAACATGACCCAAGTTAATTATTCTATACCAGAGGCCAGTTTTAGAGACTTTGAACAGTATGCATTTCGCCAGGTTAGTGTTTTCTGCGAATCGAAAGCTTGCACAAGATTATAAATCAATTCCACTCCTACACTTCTTTTGTACAGTGTTCCGTGTATGAGTGGATGCTCCTATTAGTTGGTACCCTTTTGCGTGATTAATTAATCCTAAGAAATCGTTGATAGGACCCAACACGTCCCAAGCATGACGTAAATTTTATTCAGTTTGCGTTCCCCCACAACTAATGCTATCACAACCGCCGTGAGTAATTTCTATGGTAGCATGTGGCTCTTGTAGTAATTCTTTTAATTAGGTGTGGTTCTTTGGGTTGAAGCAGTCGACATGTAAGGGTAGTCAATGCAAGAACTCTTCTGTGCATTCCGAAATTAAGGATTCTGCTAGGTCCAACACTGACATTGGTGCAGACGTGTCAACGGGAAATTCCAACCAGTATTTAATGCACCAAATATGACCTGCCTATTAAGGGATCATTGGTGAACAGGCTGCAGTTTTGTATGTGATGTTACATTTAGCGAGAGTTCTGTTGTACATGATTCTTTTCCCTAGTAGAAATCATCGTGTATTTAGCAACTCAGGCAAGTCAACGCTAAATGATAAAGCCACACATCACAACACAAAGTACATCAGTGAAAGTCAATGCTGCCTTTAGTCCACTGCCGAACACGTCGACTTTTGCACCTGGCATCTTTTTTAGTTGCTCACATTAATTCTGCGTGGCTCAACCTCATTCGGATACTCAACCTCCCCCAGCACGCAGACGTCGAACCGACCTTCACTGAGGACGAGAGTGCCCCCGTTTTCGAGAAGGTCGTTGACACTCTCGTCAAGCTGCCAAAACTCGATGTCGTAAGTAAAGCGTCGTCTTTTTTACACACTTCACAAATTCCGTCTGAAAATTAGCAATGAGCATAGGCTTCGCCGCTCTCGCAGCATCACTGGCAGACCGCAGCCTAATTGCGGTTTCAAAATTGGTCCACACTACTGCGCACTGCGTCGAGCAATACGATCTCAATGCGGCCCACTTGCTGGGGCCTGGTTTAAGGGTTGAATTCGTCACAAGTCCTTAGTTTATTCTTCGGTTTTTGCCGCAGCCGAGTTTATAGGCAATATTATTTCGTTTCAGGAAATTGTTTAACTCGTGTTCGTCACAAACACAGGCGGTCATACACAATTACACATGTTTTCCATTGTTTGAATCACTGTTTCTATTGAAATAAGAAAAAAAAGTATAGTCCAGCTGATTTTTTGCAGTTGATTAGAACAGAGGCTTTTTCGGACCATCGCTTTTAAACTGCCTAAGTTGCTTTTGTTCCATTACTAACACATATCTGCCAGTGCGTTCGTGTGCAATCTTGAAGTGCAAAATTAACCTCTGAAAATTTGAAATCTTGAGTTAATCCTCAGAGGGTGACTACATCTATGCAGTCATCAACTGAACTGACGAAGTGGCCAGTATTTATTGAATTGCAACCAGTCAACTCGAAGTGCGGCTCTTGCTCCCTAGGCACATAGGTTGATGCTTCAGCGCCTGCTGCAATGGGCTCCCGTAAAGGCTGGCTCATGCCTTGCCAGGAAACTTCATTCAGACCTACTCAAACCCGAGTACCTGGATGTCACTCTGGATGAAGTGGGGATAATGTTGACGCCACCCGGGCTTCTTCACAATCAGGCGCTACTCGCCAGGTACGTTGATGATTCACTTGCGGGCTTTTAGTGTACAGGTCAAGGGTCGGTAGGCATTTCCTTGAATTTCATGCTGTCTCGCTCATGATATAGTTTAATTGTGTGTTGTCAACATTGAAGTACTTTTATATTGAAATGCTTATATTTCAGTGGAATAAAATTTAGAAACTGTCTTGTCCGGAAGTCGAGATTTCGCCACCCATGCTATCTTACAACACAAATGATTCTCAGTAAACCCAAGTTTGTTCGAAGTTAGCCGACTTAATGAAATAGCACATCGGTTCAGGCGTTACCACAGACGTTCCTTTATCGAATATGCAACTTAGTTTGCCTTTGTCAAATTTCCCTCTATCTCAATATAGCCTGCCCCGTTACCAGATGAACAAAACAAACGTCAAAAGGGAGAGCAAACTGTACTCCCACGAGATAGAAATGGAGATTCTCGAGGCACAGGCCGCTAAAAAAAGACAAAAACAGACCACCGCGGATGGTGAGCAAAGCTTTTTGGAGTCCATCGCCCCCCAATTAACAGTAAAGCAACTCGAATTGGTCAAAGCGGAGATGGAAAAAGAGGAGGTGATTCGCCTTCGTATTGCCAAGGTAAGTTGGTAAAATTACAACCGTCTCTTTCTACCCTTTTCGTAATTGGCCAAGTCAGTGCATATGGGCAAATGTTTCGCACCAGTGTCGGGATAATTTATCATCGATTGATCGGTCCCGTTGTATCTGAGTTTCCACCGTAGTTTGAGTGTCATTTATTTCGGAGAAAATCGTTATGCCATTTATCACAAGTCCGGTGTCTACAGTAGTAAGCGACTGTATGTTAATAGGGTATTCTATGGACATTATTTGTCAAAAATTTCTGTTATTAGCCAAAATTGCATAATCGAACTGCTCCCAAATCTCCTTGTGGAAATAAAATCGGGCTTGCTAATGACTGGCAAGCATTCGTAACTCAAGCATAATGTATTTTCTCGCTTGACTTATTTTGATTTTTTTGCATTTTTTATAAAGCTATACGCTGTGGGTAGCCACAAAATGGATCTTCTCACAATACTTCATGACACCCTCCTAAGGTGTTCGAATGTCGAGGGAATTCAACTCGCATTTTTGCAGCGTAATTCATTCGCCCTGTGCGACCTCACGACGCGCCTTCTGGCGTGCCCCCTGCTCTCACCATTGGCGATCGGTGCCCACTCCCGTCTAGCACGCCTCATCGCCGAGGTTGCGATGCGAGCATCGGTTGTTGATAGGACAGAACTCTGTCGAAAAGCCTTTCTTTTTGCTGCTTGGTCAATCAGGATTTTGGGGCCAGCCAGGGTGTGTTTGGAAGAAAAACCACCGGTAGCTTCTTTCTGTCAAACCTCCTCTGTCGATGAACAGTCCGTTCGGGCAGAAAATGCTGCCTGGAATGCCTTTAGCCGAATTGGGGACATCAAGGATCAAACCGAATTGGTTCTTGAAAGTCTTCTTAGTGACGTAAGTTGGGTGTCCGTGTACTCTTTGACATTTTGATCTGGTTTGACCGAGGGTTTTTTAATGGCTTGAATCATCCTCGTTGTTGTTGTTATTCACTAATGAATTACGAGCCTTGATTCTCATCCGAATTCCCTAACGTCTTCTTTTCTAGTTGCCAAGTGCGACTGTGTCATCGGCGCTTCTTATTTCTGCCGCCGTCCCAATGTTCATTCGAATTCTTCACAACAATACCCTGTTTACAAGTGTTGAAAATGAAGAAAAGAAGTGGGCCGATGTCTACATTTTTAGCAAATTTATTGCAGCTCTCAAAAAACAAGTAGCTTTCCACGATAGTGTTGGTAAATCTTCGGAATCTTATGAAAGTGTCTGCGCCAGTTTGCAATTTCAGAGAATCTATGAGGTAAGATAAAAAGCGCAAAAATTCAAAACTAATTAATGCATGACTACTACTACTTTTATTGTTATGTATTTTATCCAATGTAGTTCTCCTTGGATCTCATTGACGAAATTGGACAAGCTCTTGAATCCAGTCTTGTGGGAGAAGATAGCGGATTGTCAGCTTCTATTTGTGAGCTGCTTCAATCAACTACACAACTACACACTGAATACTTCCTTCATATTTTGGAATCTGGACATACACAGAAAGACTCCTTGTTGGTCGCCTGCACACCGACAATTTACACTCTCTTGGAACGCCTCGTATCCTTCACTCCTCTGACAAGGGCCACAGCCATGACGGTGAGTCTCCTTCGTACGGAGTAAAACAAAAGAGTCCTTAGAATTTATTCTCTTAATGAATTGTACATGGATTACGGCTTGGAGTAAGTGTTTTTGTGTGTGCGTGTACACTTTGGCACGACGCTAATGCAAAGCTACTTTGCATCAATTTCAACCTGCCATCACGGCGAAGTGGATTGAAATGCGGTAAGTCGGACTGGACGTATCGTCAAATCCCACGGCAGTGTCGAGCGTTAGGTTGGGATTCCAAGGCTACTCAGAGGCCAAGTCGATATTTTTTTACAGGAA